TAGGTGATCTTGGAGGGCTCTTCCAACCTTGACGATTATGTGATTCTGTGAAAAAATTCTTCCTGAATGACAAGACATTTTCATCTTCAAAGGAGTAATTTCCACTCCTCTAGCGCGGACTAAGTAACATAAGTTAACCTCCACCTGGGTTTTCCTCCAGCTGCAGAGATACGGTATTCTCTCAGATCTGCAAACAGGGTTCCTAACTGAAGCCATCATGCTGGATAGTAAGATTAATGAGAATACTCATATCTAAACTTCTTATTTCCTCTATGATGTTACATGACTTTCTACTGTGAGCCTCGTATATTAAAAAATAACAATCTGTATGTGTGGTTTCAGATGAAGAATGTTTCCTTATATGATATTTGTATACAAGGTGTAGATCAGCATAAAGTTTTTATTTTATAGCATATAATAAAAGTTTTAGAAAATGAGAAAGGTAGGTGTGTTTCCTGTTATCTGCTGAAGAATATATTAGTTCTGATTTTTTTTAATTTGTTTTAAGATTATGATCAATGTTTTTAATTCAAATCAGCTGTAAGAGCTCTTTAGTGAATAAAACATTACTAGAAGTTAAATTCTATGCCTCATATAGCTTTAGGCTTCCTCATCATATGGATTGTGCAGTTGAAGGAAGTAGACTTTAAACAAAGAATTCTAAAACATTCACACTTTATTAAAAATCCATAAATAGCAATTATGGTCAAAAAAACAAACAAACAAACAAACAAAAACAGACTATCTCTATAGAAAACAAAATAATCTAACCAATCTAAAGATATTTAGTAATTTTAAGAGACATTCTTTTAGATTGAAATTAGAAGAATCTCTGGAAAACGTATGTGTAATCTAAAATGAAAATTTTAGAACAAGATATAGGTACGCTTTGTCCTTCTACACAAGGTACTATTACCTGACAAATTTCATCTACTAATATCCTTTAATTGCCCTCAATGGTACGCACTTTTAAAGCAAGAACAGATGTTATTCAAGGAGCATATAAACCCTTCCTGATTAAAATACATTGGTAGCAGAAGGAAGTAAATATTTTTATGCTTAAAAAAATAAGATTAATTATCAGGAACATTGGACAACATTGTTTTCTGGATACCACAGGAGAAATACAGATTTATAAGGCAGAGAAACAAGAAAAAAAATGTTTCTAACATGGGTGTGAACTGCAGTGTTTTATCTTACAGAACACTGGGCCAAAATTATTTCAGTTTGATTGTAATAAAGTTAAAAAGTCTTCTAGTTTCAAAGCTTTTCATATGAAAATTAGTTTTTACTTAAACCAGTTTCCCATAACAAAAACCTTAAAAGCAGTGATTGTGACCTTGCCTTACGAAAACAACTATGTTCAAAATCCCTGCATTGTAAAGGCAGATGTTTTTTGGTTATCTCTTTGTTTCTATTAGAATTATGTGATGCTTCACACTGGCAGTACTACAGTTTCTTTAAGGCTCTATCAGTTCTGAATTCTTGTGTCTCTGCAATAAACTAGTAATTTTTTTTTCTCATATCGCCGCAGTGTATGCTGCAGTTTGGATGCTTAGAACAAACCCTTGACTGTCACCACCCTTACAAGGTTTGCTTAAGCTGTGAGCTCTGATTTGGATCTAGCCTCTGAGGACAACTTTCCAGTTCACTGTCAACTTTCAAAAGTCTTTTCTGTGCAGTGTTTACTGTAGGCAGTCTACATGAACTCTGCTTCTTCGTGCATCCCAGTTTTCCCTCCTCTGTAACATATTTTGTACTTAAACTGTGCGGCCCTGTGTTTCAGCAAGTGAACCAGGAGCAATCCCCAACTCCTGGCACGCTGGAAGCAGCAGACATTTTGCATTGTGCTCAAAAATTACAGTGCACATGGCAGCCTGCTGGTAAAGCACAACACAAAGAAGAAAAGACAAGGCTCAAGCTAACTGAAGGTAGCCCTTGGGAGATGTCTGTAGGGACTATTTCTACAGTACTTGTTTTAGCTGATAGAATAAAGAGAAAAAATCCACACATAACCTAATGCAAATCTTTTGTGCAGACAAAAAGAAAACAGAACACGGTAAAAGGATGATTTCAGACTTCACTGGTTTTGTCTGTCTGCAAATTCTTAACCCTATTCCTTTTCTGTAGTCTCTTTCTGTGCTATACATACATAGCAGGCAGTGCATTCCAAAACCTGCATTTCATAGAAAGTGCTGAATGGACTGACTCAAGAATGCATTTTTTCCTTTTTCTTGGGACATAATGTTTGCTGCCCATGGAGGTCTTCCACCTGCGCCCAACTTTACAAACTTGAATCATTAATAATAGTTAATAGTTGGGACCATGTACGTGAAGACATGCCACATCTGAAAACCTTTTATTGATTTGGGACCTTGTTGCTGGCATTTCTCACTGAAAGGAAAGGGTCAAAAATCTTAGGATTTTGGCTAAAGTCCTTCATACCAATGAATATTCAAGATGCAACTTAAACTGCATATAAATCAATGAGTTTAGCACTCTAATAAAATTCTCGCTGGTCAGAAATGTTACGAAAATGCTTTGGAAAGTGTCTATCTCCAGATGGTTAGTAGAAATGGATTTTATTTAATAGCAATCTACTAACGTGTAGATTAAAACTACACCAACTAGAAGACTCCAATTCCAGGTCATCTTCAAATTTCTTTCTATGATCTACTGAAATTAAGTACTACCCCTGCAAAAAGCTCAGCCATCTGTGGGAAAACAGGCTTTGTAAGAGAATGCAAGAATGGTCTGTTAGGGATAGTAACTCTGTTAATAATTATCTGACTCGAATTTGCCTGTTTGCACGTTCATGATACAGTTAAAGAACACGATGAAACAGAAATACCCTAAACCTATTTGGCCATTGATGAGCACATTATTACGCAGGCTGTTATGACTCCAGTCAGTGAAACCCCATGCTTTTGACGTTTTCCTTAAGACAAGCCCCAGCTTATATTCCAGTCTCATGAGAGGTCCCAGTTTTCGTAATGACTCACAATGCAACAAAGTCTTTGTGCAATATGGTAACATCAATCATTGTGTCTTACCCTTTACCAAGATTATATATTTATGATTAAACCAATTTACTTGTGCAATGCAGCCATATTACAGGAAGGTCTTTGATTCATTATGCAGATTTACAAAAATGCAACCCTTTGAGTTCAGGAAATTGCATACATTTTCTTATTCTAAGAAGAGGCAAAAAGTTTTGACAAGAGTGGGGCCAACAAATGGCTCAAAGATTGCTCATGAAAGGGTATTGCATCATCCCTCATGTCACAGAACCCTAGAATGGCTTGGGTTGGAAGGGACCTTAAAGATCATCTGCCTCCATGTCACACACCTTGCGCGCTTCATTGGGCAGAGCTAATGTAGTGAATGGCATAACGTTTTTCTTAGCACCCTGGTAAATCCTCTTCTGATGATAGTGAGACTGGGTTGAAGAGTTCTCAAGTTCTTCATTGCCTTCAAAAAGAAAAGCCTAATGGGCTTGCTTAGTGGTGGCCATGATCTATTCTGACTGCAGGAGGATTTTACATTCTATCCTCTACGTTCACATGATCATTGTACTTGATCAGTGAACTACAACTGATTTGTGCATGATTAAAAGGCAGAACCCCTTTCCAAGGATCAAATTTACATAAGTTTAACACTTTCTAGAAGCATTCTTGTTTGCTAAACAAGAAAAAGGGCATCCAGTACCGCTAGAACGATTTTGAAGTCCATTCCCAGCTGTCCTCTTTCCCTTGAGAGAGTTATGCCAAATAAAGGGTACTTGAAGGAGCAGCAGCCTTCTTCTGGCTGCTGTAGACAAGATTTCCAAATCAAATAAGCATATACATGTTGGCATGCTGGTAAAAGGCAGCAGGCCTACCAGCAACAACGAAGAAAAGAGCAGCCTTCTCTCCCAGGAGTTTCAGTCAAATTGCTTTTCCCTCTCTCTTTACAGCTCTTCCCAGCCCAGATAATCAGCAAACAAAGCCAGTCACAGTCCAAACGTTTGCAAGAACACGGTTAAAAGCACCATCGGGAAACAGAATCAAGGCAGTTGCTAAACATAGGACTGTCCCTGCCCTTCAGAGATGCCAGCTGGCTGGATTCGGACCAGCCTGGCTGGTCTTACCCGTCCCAGATCTGTCAGAGCTATGAGGCACGCACACGCTGCCTCTGCGTGCGCTGTATCCCTGTGCCAGGGCCGGCGGCTTCGGGTTTGGGTTATTTTTTTTTGTTTTCCGACAGAGCGGCCAGCCTGCTGCTCTTTCACGCCCCTTTATCTGCCGTGCACCACTGCGATCTCGGGCACTCGCCGCGACGCCCGGGGAAGCCCTGCCGCAGGCCGCTGTCGGGCGGGTTGCCCGGCGAAGCGCCGAGGCCCTCGGCCGCCGCGGCAGGGCCCCGGCCGGCGCAGCAGCGCCGCGGAAGGCCCGGGGGGCCGGGCCCGGCCGCCCTTCTCGGGGCCGGGCTCGCAGAACGCAAGGGCGCGGGGCCGCCGGCGGCGGGGCTCGGTCACCGCCCGGCTCCCCCAGTGACGCCAGCTCGGGGCGGGACGGGGCCGGGCCGCCCCTCCTCGCCGCAGGCTCCGCGGGGAGCGGCGTCAAGGTGAGGCCGCGGGCGGCGGCTGGCGAGGCGCCGGGAGCGCGCGGCCCGCTCGTACCCTGCCCCGCAGCACGGGCCGGCCGCCGAACGGGGAGGCTGCTTCGGACGGCGCCCGTGCGGGGGCTCCCCGCGGGCAGCAGCTCCGCCTTCCGCCGGGGGGCGGCTCGGAGCGGCCGCGGCTGAGCCGAGCGCCCCCGCCCCGCCCGGGCCGCCCCGCTCCGCACAGCGCGCTCCCGGCGCCCCCCGCAGGCGCAGAGCGGGTCGGCCTCCCTCCCTCCCTCCCCTCCCCTCCTCCCCTCCCCTCCCCTCCTCCCCTCCCCTCCCCTCCCCTCCCCTCCCCTCCCCTCCCTCCTCCCCTCCTCCCCTCCTTCCTCCCTTCCCCTCCCCTCCCTCGCCCGCCCCCGGGTGCTGCCGCGGCCGCTCTCGCGAGAGCCGGGCACGGGCGGGGCGCAGGCGGTGACTGACAGCCGCGGGGGCTCGGCGCTGTCGCCATTGTGCTGCGGGGAGAGGCGGCTGGATCGGCTCGGCTCGGCTCGGCGCGGCCGCCTGCGGGTCCGGCTCCTCCGGTGACCCTGGGTGCGCCGCCCGCGACAGTGAGTAGGGGCCGGCCGCGGCCTCGGGGGGGGGGGGGAATGGCCCAACCCGGCCCGGCCCTGGGGGCTCGGCTCGGGCCCGCGCGCCGCCCGGGGCCCGCGGCTCGGGGCCAGGGAACCATTTTGTGTCGGGGCTGGCCCCGGCCGCGCAGAGCTTCCGGCGGGAGGGCGCCCCCGCGAGCCCCGCCGCCGCGCCCGGGCCCCGCCGCCCCTCGCCTCCTGGGGGCGCCCCTGCCTCGCGGGGTGGGGGCAGAGCGCTCGGCGCCGCCCTCGGGGCCAGGCCGGGCGCGGCCGCCGGTCCCCGGCCTCCCCCCGCCGGCCGCGGGGCGGCGCCCTGCCGCTGCGCGGGGCCCCGGCTCCGGGGCGGGAGCGGCTCGGGTGCTGGCGGCGGCGCGGGGAGGCGGTCGGCGCTGGCGGGCGTCTCTCTTAATCCGGGGAGGCTGCCGAGGTCCCGCCGAGCTTGCGGCGGCGGGTTGGGAAAAAGCCCCGAGCGACGAGCCGCGCGGCCGGAGGAGATCGCCCCCGAGGTCTGCTTGGCTTGTCGGTAGAACGTGCTTCGTGGGTAAAGGGGGAGGAAGGCCGCGCGATCAGGACCTGGGCGGCAGTCCTGCCACCGGTTGTGTACTGCGTCAAAGGATACAGAAGCCCGTAGCCGTAAAAGCTCAAGTTTTAGCTAGGAGCAGCACCACGTAGTTCAAAGGTAGAAAACTTCCGTGTATGAGCTGGGAGCGAGGCGTGTGCAGCGCTCTGAGCGAGGACACAGGAATGTTTTAAGCTGTCAGCAGAAGGCGTGGTAGCTAGTAAGGGCCTCCCTTGCTGGTAGACAGAATACATCAAATATCTCCCTCGTTTCTCAGTAGAGGGGGCTTAGGCCACCAGAGAAGAAGTGAGAAGTCCCAGTCTTAAAAGTTTGGTGTTATTTTTACCTTTTGAAATTACTCTGCTTTCCTGTAAAGAGCTATCAGTTTGGGTTTTAATCTGTTAATGCCTGCCTGTGGCTAGGTTAGATCTAGTTCATCTAGTAGTTGGAGGAATCACAGCTTAAGAAGGGCAGAGTGTTAGAGCTGTCTACTCAAAATAGGCAGTTCAGCTCCACCTCACAGATAAGACACAGTCATCTCTTTTCCATGTACAACTGAAATTTAAACTTTGATTTCAGAAGTTTTTTTTTTGTTTTTTTTTACCCAGTCTTGAGATGCGTCATGTAGTGCCTTACTCCTGAAAACATTGGAGTTCAGATCCTTCTGTGGTGTTTTGTGTGCAAAGTTGAATACCACTGTATGAGATGATGGAATATTATGCTTTGATGAGGAGTGTTTCTCACACCCTATTCCATTTCCTATTTTTCTGCTGTATAGCCACTCCGCAGATTGTCGGATAGCAGCGTGAGTAGTATCAAAATATGGAAGTCACAGAGAATCCAGAAATGTGGTTTGTCAAGGTAGTGAGTTGAGGTTACACAATGAAGGATGTGGCAGGTGTTGTATTTGAGTAAGGTATTGTTCTCCTTTCTCGCAACAGCAGCCTTTTAAACCAGTTCAGGTTGTAATGCAATTTTTTTTTTATTTGTTCCTTAAAAAAGTTGTTTAAGCATTTTTCTGTCTCACTGCCTTCTGTGTAAATTTAGTTGACTACTTCATCGTTATAGAACTTGTTATAGCATGTTAATCATCATTTGGGGTTTGGTGAATTTCTTTGCATGTAAACAAAACGTTTGAGGTTTTAAATTGGAGTGCCATTGTGTTTGTTCAAAACAAAAGCAGACAAAAAAAACACACCTCATGGTACTGTGATATTGTAAAAGAGAACCATTTTAATTCCGAAATATCCTATAAAACTGATGTTTCCCCTTTCAGACGAGTATTCTTGTGACGTAAATAATTTTTTTAAATGGTGAGATCACAGAATCGCCGAATGTTAAGGATTGGAAGGGACCTTGAAAGATCACCGAGTCCAGTCCCCCTGCCGGAGCAGAACGCCTAGATCAGGTCACACAGGAACGCGTCCAGGCAGGTTTTGAATGCCTCCAGAGAGGGAGACTGCACAGCCCTACTGGGCAGCCTGTTCCAGTGCTCTGTCACCCTCACCGTGAAAAAGTTTTGTCTCATACTTAGGCAGAACCTCCTATGTTCCACATTGCACCCCGTTGCCCCTTGTCCTGTCATTGGGTGTCACTGAGAAGAGCCTGGCTCCATCTTCTGACGCTTGTCCTTTACATATTGATAAATATGAATAAGGTCACCCCTCCGTCTCCTCCAAGCTGAAGAGACCCAGCTCCCTTAGCCTTCCCTCGTAAGGGAGATGCTCCACTCCCTTAATCATCCTCGTGACTCTGCACGGGACTCTCTGAAGCAGTTCCCTGTCCTTCCTGAACTGAGGGGCCCAGAACTGGACGCAGTATTCCAGATGCGGACGCACCTGGTCACTGTCTTCTTACGTACTATGTTCTGTGATAGCATAGTACATTCTTCTTGAACACCTCGTTCTGTTACCATGATCGTCATAAGCCTTGTGCGACTCTGTGTGTTAAAGCTAACTGTGAATATGGTTGGTCTATGAAGCCTTCCTTAGTGAAGTGCTTAAAACAATTTTCACAGAACTCTGGATGATAAAGAAACCCAAATGAAAATAGATTTCCTGCTAGCATTGGTTGCCAAAGTTGAGTTGTATCTGGTTTTATTTATACAATATGTTCAGGTCATAGCTCCGTTGACTTCAGTTGGAGATGTATGCGTATTTTATTTCTTTTATGTTGGATGCCCAGAAGATTAAGTGGTCTTCTGTGCTTGTATTGGCAAAATGATTCATCTGAGTGACATGTGACATCACTCAAACTGTGGTCAGAAGCAAAAATGAAGTCCAGTTTCCTCACGCAGAATTTCCCTGCTCGAGTCAAAAGGCCTTTCGTTCACTAACTCGGCGTGAAAATGAGGCAGGGTTCCTCTTGTCAGGTGCCTGTCACTATACAAAACTGAGTCATCTTTATAGCAGGTCCCTGTTCGCTTGCTGAGGCCAAGACTGTGCAGGAAAAGTATACGGTTTTAGAGGACTTAATCGTAGTGCATATTCATAAGCTGACACTAAAGTTTGCATTTCCTAACGTGCTCACTATAAACATATTTTTGTGTTTAGTTTTCTGCAAGATTTACTTAGAACATATCCCTTTGATAGTATCCTCCTGATGTATTCAGGCTGAAATCATAGAAGACAGCTGCTTGTGCTAATTTACAAGATGGAGTTGATTAATAATATTGTCCTCTTGGGGTTACCACTGGAGGAGAGAATTAGTCTTGTGCCTCTTCATGTATATTTGTAGAAGCAATTAGCTAATCTTAGGCTCCATTTCAATTTCTAGAGACTAGGCATTGGACACAACTGTCTTCTATCCTGTCCTTGCCTATCGCGACAGGCTGATTTTTCTCTCTTGTGTGCATAAGCAATTTAAGTAGCATTAGATGATCTCTGATTATGTCTTAAAGTTCTTGAACTTCTTACACTTGTATCTCTTCCCCTGCTCATTTGGACATTGATTAATCCTGCTGTACGGAGCTTCCTTTCCTTCATCTAGAACCTCTGCATATTTTCTGTCTGCATCTGACGTTCTACTTGTGTTATTTAATTCATTTGGTTCTACATACATCTGAAGGAAAGTGATACAGAAGCAGAATGATCCATAACTGAAGTGGTAATTCTGGTGCTCAAAGAATGTTAGGGATTGGAAGGGATCTTGTGTACCGGTCCCATAAACTAAGCTTAATCAATGGACATCTGTACAAACTAACTTTTACCAGGAGAGTATTGAGTAGTCCTGGGTACATGAACTCAACTTGTAACTGCAGCCAGGCATAGGCAATGTCAGGATTGCTCCAGAAGCTTTTCAGAGACTAGCTGAATGTGAGGAAATAATTGTACTGTATTGATTGTGTTTTTTTATTATTTTTTTTGTGTGTGTGTGTGTGTTTGTTTGTTTTTTTCCTAATACATCTTTTTCCCATTGCTGCTCTCAGAAGACAAGGTCAGAACTGAAAGTTGTGAAATAAAACATCGTACCACTTTGGCAAATCACCTGCACCGATGCAGTTCTTAGCCACCTGTTTTACGAGCCGTTAGCTGTCATGCACCTCGTCCTGCACCACACAACTGCGGATGCTGTAATGTTGTGAATGTTATTTAAGAGCTATTTTTTGTGGTGTAGTTCTTCCTGTACTGTCCTGAGGAGGAAGAATATTAGAAAAACAGTTATCTATCTATCTAGAGTTCTTGAGCAATGTGAAGTTGAGATATCCTTCAAAGGACAGGAATGACAGGATCACTTCTTATGTGGAAAAGGCACCAGCATTTGTTTTAAAATGCCTAGAAATACCAACAGAGCAAATAATTACTCAAAAATAAATTTATATATACATGTCAGACCACATACTGTGGTTTTATAAATGAATTTTCATGGTAGTTGTCTTGGAGAAGTGAAATACTTCTTTGAGGTGGGTAGTTTTAACAGGAAAGTGAAGTTTCACAGTTCTGACCCTGAAGAATAAGCTTGAGTGTAGTTTCTGCAAGTAGCTAGTTGATCTTCTCATGTTGTAGATGCGGCACATTAACAGAAAAGTTACTTCAGGCTTTAAGAAATCAGAGGTTTCTTTCCGTGACTCCTGGTTCATTTTTGCGTTACTGCTGCAGGGTTCTTAAGGGAGTCCCACTTACAGTATAAGAGTAAGAATATAAGTAATATAGTAACAAGAATATCAAAAGCAGCTATGTTCCTAGTTTTCTAACAGTGAATGGGAGGGGGTTTATGGAAGAGGTGCAGAAACCTGAGAAAGAATTCATTTCCACATCTTACTGACCAGAACAAAGCTCTTTGTAAATGTATATCTGTGTGTGAGTAATACTTACGTTACACTGGAAAACAGTTGCGCGTGTTTTGTGTGTAGATTCCTGCATTTGAAATAAAAAGTAATGAGTGTGTCCTTCTACAGGGTACAAAAAATGGAATCTAAACCCTCAAGAATTCCTCGGAGAATCTCTCTTCAGGCCTCCAGCTCTCCAATAGGATCCCGACCATTAACTGGAAACAGTTTAGGTGGGGCATATAGTGCAAGAGAATCTTCACGGAGATTAGACTCTGGATACCAGGTAATGGTTTTGATTCTTTCTATGAAGCGTACGTTCATTTAATGTTTGTTTCTAACAGAGGAAAAACCCTGGAGTTGCTGACCCCCCCACCCAGGGGGGGATTAAAAGGAAAAGTATCAGCCAAGGTCTTGCATTTGTGAACAAAAACACATAACTGATCATCCAAGGCAATGATTTGATGATCAGGCCAGTGACAGTTTTCACAGAATCACGGAATGGCTGAGATTGGAAGTTACCTCTGAAGATCATCAGATCCAACCCCCCCCTGCCAAGCAGGATCACCTAGAGCGCGTTGAGGAGGATGGCATCTGGGTGGGTTCTGGATATCTCCAAAGAGGGAGTCTCCACAATCTTTCTGGGCAACTTGTGCCGATGCTTGGTCACTCTTACAGTAAATAAATGTTTTTCTCGTACTCAGCTGGAACTTCCTGTGTTTCGGTTTGTGCTTGTTGCCCCTTGTCCTGTTGCTGGGCACCACTGAAAAGAGTCCAAAAGCATCCTCTTGACACCCTCCCTTCAGATATTTGTATATGTTGGTAAGATCCCCTCTGTCTTCTCTTCTCCATGCTAAACAGGCCCAGCTCTCTCAGCCTCTCTCTGTCTGAGAAATGCTCCAGTCCCCTAATCTAGTGAACTAGTGAACCTGTGAACTGGTAGTTCTAGGTTTGACATCTTTACCTACTTTTGTTTGTAGCTCTGCCTTTAAAAATCAGCTGATTGGTGAGAAAAGGGCATCCTGATACCCTTTTGCTTTAAACTAAAAGAGGGAAGATTTAGATTGGAGATTAGGAGGAAATTTCTCACTCAGAGGGTGGTGAGGCACTGGAATAGGTTGCCCAGAGAGGCTGTGGATGCCCCATCCCTGGAAGCGTTCAAGGCCAGGCTGGACAAGGCCCTGGGCAACCTGATCTAGTGGGTGGTGTCCCTGCCCATGGGAGAGGGAGTTGGAACTGTGTGATCTTTAAGGTCCTCTTCAACCCCAGCTGTTTTGTGATTCTGTGACATGATTTTATGATACTATGGATCTGTTTTGACAATAGTCACTGCTGTCCTAAACTTGGTTAAATGGGTGTTGCTGGTGAGGGAATGTGAGGATTTTACATGGAATGTTAATAGGGCATTATACTTCATGTGTGGATAGTGATGCATATATAGGAATACGTTGCGGTTCTAAGAGTTGACAGTAGGATGTACTACTCTGCAGCATGTGCTCACTATGCTTTCTGTAAGAAAAGGTAAGAAGAGGACTTTGAGGTTTACATCACGCTGTCCTGTCAGTATGTTAGTACAGCTACACCTGGCAATGGATAGGGCTGTGGCAGAGACCTTTGCTGTTTGATGCCAACCGAAATGTTTTTTTGTGGGATGAAGGTATGTTCAAGAGTAAGAATTCATACTTGGCAGATGCTTTCCCTTTGAAAGAGGATTGTGGTAAGTATAGATTAAACTGACAAAGAAATTATTTTGGGACATTTGGAAGTAACCAGAGGGCTATTGGGTTCGACTATCTTAATTTTGTTTATGCTCCTGTCAGCAGTTCCCACCTAAAATTTTGGGACTAGAAATGTAAGTACATTTTAGTCTTTGAAATGCAGAATTTTAACTTGATGACTAAATGTTTATTGTATAAAATAGTAATGAATTCTGTCCCTGCTAACAAGTGATCTGGGGCGTTGTGTTGTATAATTTCTTCCCCAGAAATAGTTTCACAAGTAACGCTTCTAATTATCTTTAGCACAATGTACGTATAGCCGTGTGTTACACTTTGTTATATCTAGCCTGCATGTGTTTGTTAATATGTAGGCTAAAAAGATTGCCTAAGGGTGGTCTTCAGACAGTTTTGATCTATTTATTTTTTTGTATTCCTACCCATTTTTTGCAGACTGATTGCTCTGTAAAACCGTCTGATTAAAAATAAAAAAAAAAAACTAAATAAAAAAAAAATTGAATAGTGTTGCTCTTTCATAAGGTTTATGGACCCATCCAGTCTAGATGGGATGACACTGAACGCTTTTGGTCAGAAGATTAGTCTAAAACTGTGAAGCTAGATATGTTACCAAACTATTTTTCCACTGTCAAGGAATTAGGAGGGTTATGTACTTGATTTCATTTATTACATGAACTGCAGTGTTTACACTGTGCAGTGCGTTATCATTTGGATGTTTTGTGCTGAGCAACGTGCTTCTACTCTGAGGAATGACCTTTACAATACTTCCCAGGTAAAACGGAGGGAAAATAATAGCAGAGAGGATCATGTTGAATCGCTTTTTTCCACTCCAATTTATAGAAGATAGTCTGAGAGCTCGTTTTATGAGACTAGTGCCCAGCAGTTAAATAAATAAAACATACGCAGGCGTGCTTAAATGGAAGATGGTAACTTGTCATACTGAAAGTTGAGGTCCTTAACTCTGTCCTGTTTCTGGAGTATTTAAGTTGGGGTAACACCCCAAAAACCCTATTGTCCACAATCAAATGAAAGGACAGATAAAGGAGATAATTAATAGAAAAATATTTTTCCTTTTGCCAGTGGTTTTCTTTTTAAACCTGGCTCATTTTTTCTTGGGTATACCTTGAGGTTTTTAATGGATGTCTCCCAGTTTATTAGTACCTCACCCTTTCCTGCATTTTTGATATTCAGATCGGATATACATTTCATCTTGAGTTACAAGATGTATCTGATAAGCATGTTGTTCTTCAGGAATCCACTGTATTGAGTACTTCTGGTAGAGACTGGGGAATTGGAGAAAGAGAGACCCATGAAACTGCTTGGAAGCTTACAGCGTCCTCTCCAACTCACTACTCAGGGACACTTGATCATCCACGGTCTGGAAGATTCTGGGGAAGCAGAAACAGACTGGTAATAATTTTTAATGTGTAATGACTTCTTTAGAAAAGAGGGTTTTACTGTAGCCTTCCCAACCTGAAAAAAATGCTAGCAGAAGCTTGCTATAATGTTTTTAGATAAGAAGATCTTACCAAGTCAAAATGGAGGGAAAACAAGATGGCAGTGTTAAGAAATTATTCAGAGGATGAAAATAGTAATGTATATTAATTTGACTACTAGTAGAGCCACTCACTTCAAATTTCTTTCTTAAAAAGGGACCATTCACAAAGAAAAAAGGGCATGCGTGATTAAAGTCTTTTACATGCTTTAGTCCTACAAATGACAAAATAAATGTTTTACTGGATTTTTCTAGGGCACAGTGTTGTTTTTTTTTTTGTTTGTTTTTTTGACCTTACCAGCTTTGTGACCTGAGAACAAAGTAGGTAGTTTGAAGGATCTGTTTTAGAAAACTTAGCTTTAGATTTACTTACAACTTACAGGTAACATAACAGTTAGTTACATGCTGCTTGCAGCATAGTGTGGAAGAAAACGGAGGCCAACCTCTCACCAGACTGAGATCCAAGGCTCAGGCCTAAACAGCTTGCCTTAGGTGGCCTCCATAACCATACATGTAGAACTGAACCACAGAATGTCCCTTAACAACTCTAAAGAAGTTTGCTTCCTTGAATTACTTATGCACTGCAGAGTCAAAATAAAACACTTTCAGTTGCATTAGAAATAATAAAAATAGAACTGATAGTCCTTTCCAACTGAACTATTCTGAGATCTAGTCCAACTGTCTGATTATTTCCCGCTTTAAGAGGGGTAAAAGCAGACAACTATAAAGACCCTTGGGGGTAGATAGCAAACTTGAAAATTCTGTTCACTTCAAAACTGAGAGGGCTTTTGGGCACCTAAGGATACTTGAACCGTAAGTAGGTGTCCATTTTCGTACAGTTACTTAAAAGGTGAATGCACGGTCAGAAAAGTGAGGAGTGTGGAAAACTGTGGGGATGCTGGCCTGCAGGAGTAATCCTAGTAAATGGCTTTAGATATGGTTGGAACCTGTGGTTGTAGTAGGTCCATGTATATGCAGTTAAGCTAGTGCTGCAGGCTTTTTGAAGTGAGAGGTTTTTTTGTTTTTTTTTTTTTCCTAAGTTAAATTTTCTTCTTAAATTATGTTCTGATGGGGGTGAACACTGCAGAAGGCTCAAACTTCCACTTGTCAAATAGCAAGCGATTAAAAGATAAATTACATTAAACATATAACTTGAGGGGAAATTAACCTATTTTCATACTTTGTTTGTGATGTTAGATTCTCTGTCTGACCCTTTTGTCTTTTATGATGGGGAAAGAGAAATAATTGAAAAGCATTGGCATAAGCTCAGTAAAACCATAAAAATAAAACACAAGTAAACAGTGAATTTGTTTGGCCAATTAAGAAGCTTGGTTTCAAATACTTTCTGGGAGAAGAACAAACTGTTTGATCAAGCTCAAGTTTTTGGTATCAAAAAATCTTGGTGGTGAGTAACCAGACCAGTAGCTTCACGGGCTAATATGTTTTCCTTTCTTTTTCTTTCTTTTTTTTTTCTCAGTACTAGGAAGGCTATATACTGCAAAAATAGTTTTGTACATTTTAAGCTATTTCAGTTGAGTTTAAGCTTAATAAAAAAAGCTTTTATTTTGCTGGTACAAAAAAGACAGGGATCTCCTGGAAAGAGCCCAGTGGAGGGCTACAAAAATGATACGGGGCCTGGAACATCTACCCTACGAGGAAAGGCCTAGAGACCTGTGTCTGCTTAGCATTGAGAAAAGAAGATGGAGAGGGGATCTTACTAATGTTTATAAATGACTTAAGTGTGAGAGACAGAAGGATTTGGCCAATCTCCTGTTAGTGGTTTGTGGGAACAGGACAAGGGGCAATGGTCACGAAATGGATCACAGGAAGTTCGGCACCAATATGCAAAATAACTTCTTCATGGTGAGGGTGATGGAGCACTGGGACAGGCTGCCCGGGGAGGTTGTGGAGTCTCCTTGTCTGAAGATATTAAAGGCCTGTCTGGATGGCTACCTCGGTGTACTGGGTCTGGCTGGGATGTTAACTTTTCCTGCAGCAGCCCATTCAGTGCTGTGCTCTGCACTTGTAGCTAGAACAGCACGGGTATCACACCAGCGTTGTGTGTACTGCTGAGCAGTGCTGGCACAGCATCAGGACTCTCTCTAACCCTCCTAGGGGGTGGGCAAAAAAGTGAGAAGAGAAACATCACCAGGGCAGCTGACTTAAACCAACCAAAGAGATATTCCATACCATGTGGTGTCACACTCGGCAATAAAAGGTGGAAACAGGAAGAAGAGGGGAGGGGTGGGCTCTCGTGAAAACTTCAGTTCTCCTCTTGAATGCTGGCTACCTGCGTTGAGGCCCTGCTTCAAGGATGTGGTCAAGCATCACTCATTTGTGGGAAATAGAGAGTAATTTCTTTCCTCTGCACTTCCACATAGCCTTTGTGGGTCTTTTTTTCCCTTTTTTCCTTTTCCCCTTTCTCTTTTTTTTCCCCTTTAGTTAAATTGTTTAGTTAATAACAATAATATTTTTTTCCCTTTAATTAAATTATTCTTATCTCAACCTGTGAGTTTTCTTTACTTTACTTCTTTCCCTCCTCATCTAAGGAGGGGGAATGAGAGAGCGGTTGTGGTGTTTAGCTGCCTAGCATGGTAAAACCACCATACTTGGCAACCTGCTCTAGGGAACCTGCTTTGGCAGTGGGATTGGACCTGATGACCTCATGAGGTCCCTTCCAAACCCTACGATTCTCTGATTAATGTAATCAAAATATTTCTGGTCTAAGCACCTTCATAGAAAGTAGAGCTACCTCCTAGCTAAGTATATTTTAGGTTGTTAAAAGATGAGCAGGGTTTGTTAAACTACTATATCATAAAGGTAATCTGTTACAGCCATTTCTGAAATACAAAATTATGTTTGCTTTATGATCTGTAAGCCCACGTCTGGGCGTTTTTATGGTATCTTAAGAGTCAGGAATATCTCTCTGTTCTTTAAATGTCATCCATCTAAAAAAGAAAAGGTGCTGACTGTAGTAGAAACCCGCTTTAGATGCAGAACTGCCTTGAATAAACCTGAGAAATGCTTGTGCTCTTGACAGCAAAATTCTATAATATTTTTAAATAAAAAAAGACTTTGCGTCATAAAGTTATTCTCTGCTGGTGTTGTGGGGTTCATGGTATATATGCTATTTTTCAGTATTGTAGGCTGTGGAAGGTACACCTGAAATACTGTATCCATAATTATCTTTTTTTTTTTAATGTTATTTCAGTCTACATCTTCCTCCTCTCATTTTACATCTGGGTGTTACGGCGAGTCTGAGAGAACTCAGGGAGCATATTCAAGACTGCATAACCAGCAGCGAGATAGTGATTCAAAGAGACCTAAGCTGTCCTGTACGCCTACCTCTTCTGTGAGAAATAATGGCTTGACTGCCTTTTCAGGTGAGAGGCTGATAACTAGAGCTGAGCTACATGAGAGTTTTCTGAGTAAGATCAATCAGGTCTTACTGAGTTGGAAACAACTTGCTTTGAAATACTATGTTTCTGTTATTCTTCAATATGAAAAAACTTTGACAGTAGTATATGAAATAGTGAGAATGCTGTTGATGTGTTTGAAAACTCATTAGTAGTCATGGAACTTCAACATTAGCTGTACCTATTCCATTTGCAGTGAAGTTGGACTTAATGTTTCAAATAGATCTGAAGTGGTTAAGATCTCAAGGAAAGAATGAGTGCACTTGTTACATATGATTTCAGGGGACTAATTGTGTTAGTAAACCTGCATGTGTCAGACAGCAGAAAGAAAATCTTTATGTACTTAGCTCTGTGTTTCAAGAAGCATAGTGCCATAGCTGGTTAGAATGTTGTTGGTAGGGGGTCAGGCCCTACTGATAAATAACTTCATTCCCTAAACTATTTCTACAGGCCAGGCAAAAATTAACATTCTACATGAGGAACTCTTCCAGGAAAAACTGAGATTCTCATTAAAGCTCTAAATAACTGTGATATTTGCTTAGATGTAATTTAAGCAAATACTTGGATAACTGTAATTTAAGCAATATGCTAACAGTGGTCTAAAGGCCAGGAAATAACAACAAGCTACTACTGAAAGCATTTCTAGAATGTTTTGAAACAGACCCTTAGAGACATTCAGATTACCTTTATGTGTATAGACCAATTTTGGTTTTATAGAATTACGTGGCCATCCAAATAAAACTTAATATGTTCTTACTAAAAACCCTGTACTGTAGATACTTTCTTACTCTTGTGTTAATGGCAGTCATATTATTAACATTACTGTTATGATCTGGGACACGTCTGTCCACTTCTGGATTGGTCATCACCCTGTTGACCCCAATGAATGCCCAAATATAGATTTAGAAGTTAAAAGTATAATAAATTCATGGTGGGTTTTTCAGAGCCATTGAAGATTTTTTTTTTTTTTAATGAGTTCTGTTCACAGCTTAAGTATGTATAGTTCCTGATTTAGTTGTTGGAGCTATTATTGAAAAACAAGGTCTCTTCAAATTGAGCTTTTCCCTTCTGTTTCTGTAATATGAGCAAGAACAGTGTTTGTCACTGTTCTTAAAAGTTGTTTTTAAAATGCTCTTAAGATATTCGGATGTCTTTTTGGAAAGTCAATCTAAGGAACGCTTAATGAGTTTCATTGGAATGGCAGCATTTATTAAACCTCGAGTTGCTGTTTTGCCTAATGTGAAGCTACCTAGTAATTAGCTGTCACTGGAAGACAAGATCCTACTTCCCTTCTCCTGTCCTGTTTGACTGTTACAGGGTCTGACTCTTCACAAAAGTATTACTGCTTTTTTTCCTGGGTTAGCTTTCAGAACCAACTGCATGGTTAAGTGAGTTGCCATCAGCAGCAGAGTGGTGCTGTATTCTTAGCTTTTTGTTGGTAACTGGCCACTTGATCAGCTTAGTGGTATTGCTAAACTCCCCCTTAATACAATATAACCAGAATGCATGCTGAAGTACCAGCTTTAATGGATTTTAAAATTATTATAAAAATGTGGCATATTTTCTTTTCCTAGATGCCTCTTGGAGGTATAGTAGGATTCCTAGATCTTCATCTGTGATGCTCGGTTCTCTGGGAACTGAGCTGGTGAGAGAGCGAAGAGAGTTAGAAAGAAGAACAGATATGTCCATTAATGATCTGGTGGATCACAGTTACAGAAGCAATGACTTGTCATCTTCAACATGTATGTATTGTAAAAACAAAGCTTGTAAACACATAGGCTGCATGCCTGTTAGTTTCTTCCCATGTGCTTTCCATGCGTTCTTCAAAAAAAAACAAAGTCAAAAGATCTATTTAATTTAAAGGTATTCTTTTAAATAAAGCTGTTTAGCCGCTCTCTAGGTGTTCACTAAAATCATCAAAAGATGTATGAATGATCTAGCTTACATAGATGCATTCAGTCATAAGAAAATGGTATCAGTGTTTGCCACAGTAACAGTGCGAATATTCATTAAACCTCCTTTCTCCTTGTGTATTTTAAGATTTCTTTTTATTTTGCCATACAGAAATAAATTAAAAAAATTAATGGACTCGAAGAATTTCCACCAAGGCACTCACCCATATCTCTTTCCATTGTGTTTTTTGAGTGTTTATTAGGGAGAACTGCTAGATCATTGACAGTACAACTGAATAAATACATATACTATAGGAAGTGAGAGATCTGTTCATTGGTATCTACTAGGGCTAGTATGAATTTCTGCATTGTCACTTTCACTTTCTTCCTCTTTGGATTGTTGTGGTCTGAGGAGGTAGCTAGTCATCAGTCTTCATTGACACCCTTTTTGCAGATGCAGTAGTGGTATTTTATATGCAGAAGTTAAAACTACAACAATCCTTTACAGCTATACAGAAGATGAGCAGAAAAGATTAAAAAACAGTTCCAATTCTCATTCAGCAGTTTCGCCTTGCCAGAAGAGTATGTTTTAATGTTGTCATACTCTACATGACTTCAAATGGGTGGAAAATGGGGAGTGTACCTGGTAGAGCCTAATGGGAGAAAAGCAGGGGTGGGTAAGCTTGCTTTGTATTGTCTGTGCTGCCTTTCTAGCTGTAGTGCCCCCGTCAAGTGCTATAAAAGTAATTCCTGACTGTGTTCTCTGCTTTGTCATCAAAACCATATAGGAAATGCTTAGCATCTATGTGGATGTTTCCTTCCTTAGGATATGCCAGATGCATAAACCTCACCGTCAAGAATAAAATAGTATGATTGCAGTGCAGAACCTGTAAAAAAAAAAAAAAAATCGCATGAAAGGTTACGAAGAACTTGTTTACCAAAAGGGCATTGGAATGGGCTGCCCAGGGAAGTGGTTGAGTCATGATCCCTGGAGGTGCTTAAAGATGTTTAGATGTAGAGCTTAGTGATATGGTTTAGTGGAGGACTTGTTAGCGTTAGGTCGGAGGTTGGACTAGGTGATCCTGGAGGTCTCTTCCAACCTAGATGATTATGTGATCCTGTTTCAATCTCAGAATAACTGAAGAAGGACTTCTACCTCCTACCTTAATCTACCAATGCCTGTTAAGTATTTAGAATGTTAAAGGAAATGAAAAGTAATTTCCCTTCCTATGAGGTCAGCGTACATCTGCTGTCCACTTTCAACCCAATTCTAGCTATTCTGCGAGAAAGAAGACTATCCTTCTCAGCTGCTTCACTTAATGTCACCTAGACTTGAGCTACAGTAGAATTCCATGTGGAGGTATATATGTAGTAATGACAAAAACTATGGTTATAAGAAAGCATTATGTAAATAAATATACTTCAAAAAGCAGTGGAGGAGACAGCCGTGTGGTAATAGTTACCGAACTGGCTATATGTGATTAAGGTAATTGAGAGAGCAGCTATGATTAGTAATACAGGATGATTATTAGTAATTTGATCCTGCTTAAGCTGCTTGCATAGCTGAATCTGCAACTGAAGTTGTTGTATTTCTTTGAGAGATGCAGTAGTTAGTTGATAGAACTGTAGAATCATTTAAGTTGGAAAAGACCTGTAAGATCATGAAGTCTAACCATCACCTCATGCTACCCTATCCAACGCTAAACCATGTCCCTAAATGCTACATCCACATGTCTTAAATATCTCCAGGGAGGATGATTCCACCACATCACTGGGCAGCTTGTTCCATTGCACCCTTTCCATGAAGAGATTCTTCCTGATATCTTATTTAAACCTCCTGTTGTAAGTTGAGTCCTCCTTCCTGCCCTTCTTGTAGAAAGGTGTTGCATTTGCTAACCTCCAGTCAGATGAGACTTCACTGGTTAGCCAGGACTGCTGATAGGTTGTTCAAAGTGGCTTAGTGAGCACTTCTGCCAGCTTTTTCAATACCCTTGAGTGAATCTTTTGTGGCCCAATAAATCTGTATGAGTTCAAGAGGTGTAGTAGATAGCTAACCATTTCCTGTTGGTTTATAATGGCTTCATTCTGTTCTGTGTGTCTTCCAGCTGAGCAGGCTGGGTACCCTGAGAAAAATTAGTCTTACAAAAGACTGAGGCAAAGAAACTATCAATTACTTCAGCTCAGCCTCATCTATCACCACTATGTTTTCCCTTGCATCCAGTAAGGGAATGAGATTCTCCTTAGTCCTCTGAAGTTTTGTTGCTCATGTATTCATAAAAACATTTTTAATTAACTCATATTAGCCAAACTAGTGCAGTTGCAGTATTTTTAGGCTACTGTTTTTATGTTTTAGTTCTTTTTAAAAAGAAATATAATAACCCTCCCTAAAATCTTCGGACTAGCAAGGTTTGTCTTGCTAGAGGTAGAATACTGTGATTCTAAGACGTACGTTTAATTTAGATACTGTTCAATTTCTGTTATCCAAAGTAGTTAATTTTATGCTACCTTTAAGCAGCGTTTTGAACTGCAGTTCCTGATGTTCTTGTGCAGAAAGTAGCTTGTAATAGATGGAGAATATACTTGATGTTTTCTGTGCATTTTTTTTAGATAATTTGGTGTCTGCTACATTGCTGATGTTTATTAATGTTAATTAACCTGTCTTAGTATACAGGCAGAATGGACTGTTAAGTTATTAAATAGTACTGTACATGTACTTTTTTTTTTCAGTGTAAGTGTTCTTATTATAACTTCTAACAGATGGTTAGCGTTCGCTATTTTTGTATTGGTATAAGACAGCAAGTCATACCTTGATAGACTGAAGATTTTAGGGGGGTTAGATTTCATATAGAGTTACCAGACTGAAAATGGGCTTGGTTTCAGTTTAGCATTAGAATTATGAGAAGTAAGTTTAAACTTAATATTGCTCTGGAGTTTACCAGCCAAATTGGAAACAATTTTGTGAAAGGATCACAAAATCCTGAACTTTTGCATTGACATTTAAGAGTTATCTGTCTGGTATGTAAGAATTGGAGCACATCTTGTTATTGTTTTCCTCTGCTTTCCTGCAACAGATCTTCAGGATAGGCCTGCCTCTTCATATGCAGAGGGAGCAAGACCAAAAGAGAATTCATTAAGCGCTTTGAGGCTGAATGCATCCATGAACCAACAGTTGCCTTCTGATCGTCAGCCATCGTTTTTCAACAGAGACTCTAACATAAGCTCTTCAAGATCAAGCTATTCTTCAAGGCAAAGGAGAAATGAAATGGAATCACCCCAGAGGAGCATGCAGCCAGCATTTTCTCATACTGCCATTAGAGAAGAAATTCCTTCCTCAAGTGGTTCTGAAAGGGTTTTATCTTCTCAGAGGTCGTTAAATGAGGCTGCAGCTGACAGTGAAGGGAGGCGCACAACCAGACAGCTGCTGTCTCGTTTAGCATCTAGTATGTCATCTACATTTTTCTCTCGAAGATCTAGCCAGGATTCATTGCATACAAGGTCATTAGGCTCTGAAGAGTCATCTGTTGTCCCAAGAGTTCAAGCTTCTAGTCTGTCTAGTGCTAATGGAGCTACAACTCCAGAAACTCCAGGACTTCAGACATCTGAAGCTTCTCAGGGATTTAGTTTTCTTAGACGAAGATGGGGTTTATCAGGAATTTCACAGAATCTTAACTCTGATTCGGACGGGGAAAGCTACAGACCAGACTCTGAAAGCAGGAGCACGGGATCCTGGTTGTCATCATCTTTGAGGAACAGATGTACACCTCTCTTCTCCAGAAGAAGGAGAGAAGGAAGAGACGAGTCTGCAAGGATCTCCACCTCTGATACAACTGCTAGATCGCAACATGTCTTCAGAAGAAGAGCGTCAGGTGAGGAGACCTCTCTAGAAGCATCAGATAGCCTGCCTCGGGCTTCTGTTAGCAGACCATCAACACCTGCAGTATCTGGCATTTCTACAGCTACTGCCTCCCCACCAGATTCAACCCACAGCAGGAGAAGTTCTGGAATTCTGCCTGGTTCTCTCTTTCGCTTTGCAGTGCCTCCAACATTAGGAAGCAGTCTGTCTGACAATCTTATGATAACTGTAGATATTATTCCCTCTGGCTGGAATCAGTCTGAAGGACAAGAAAGTGATAAGTCTAAAATACCACCTTCAAGAGATCCAGAAAGACTCCAGAAAATTAAAGAAAGGTAAATTAGTATGTTCTTTTGAGATAATTAAATGTACTTGACTTAGCATGAGAGGGTTTTACGTAACCTTGATGTTAAAAGGTACTTTCCTTCGGAGAAGGTTGCAACTCATAGCTATCACGTACAGGCTCACTTTTGTCTTTATAGAAACTTGTATTAATCCTCACAGGTTTGAGAACAGTTGGAGGACAGAAAAAATCGTACATGAAACATGTCACAGTGTTTTGTTGATATTCCTTCCTATTCAGTCTGCTTTTAGAAGATTCTGAAGATGAAGAGGGTGACTTATGTAGAATCTGTCAGATGTCATCTGCAAGTTCTGACAACCTTTTAATAGAGCCATGCAAATGCACTGGAAGTCTGCAGTATGTTCACCAGGAGTGCATGAAAAAATGGCTGCAGTCCAAGATTAATTCAGGTAAAGGAGACAACAGACTATGGTAAATGTCTGGGTATGGTGGGAGACTTACCAGTACGATGGCTCTTACTAATATTGACATATTTTTGAAAAAGCAATGACTGGGGAGAGAAAAGTGTGTGTGTGTATATTTCTTATATATATATATATATATATATATATAATATAAGAAAACAAACAAAAAACATTGACACTTCAAGGCTTTTTTTGATATGTGTGCACGTGCACAGATGTGTGCACATTTTCTCCTGTGAGTTATTTTCAAGAACAGTATCAGTCATTTATAGAACTACATTTTTTGTAATGCCTACTTAGATGTTAAACAGAATATATAACATTGCAGAGGTCTGGGGCATGAGAAGATACTTTTAAGAGTTACTCTACCAGTTTGGGCAAGTGTGTTCCCAGCAACTCCTTGTGCATGCAGTTCTAATTATTAAGTCTCTGATAGACAGTCTGACTGTAGCAGAGCGACAGGGATTTTAAAATGAAAAAATACTTTTCTATTGCAACAGTTCTTGAATACATTGTCTTTTTTATTTTTTTTAACATATCTTAACTGCTGTTCAAGGCAGTTGAACAGGAATAAAGATTTTTTTTTTTTTAAATACACTTCAGAAACTGCACACCATACAGATGTTTTTGTATTACTTATAAATTGTTTGATGAACTTATATGTAGGATTCCTAAGACTTAAAATACATGGCCTGGTAGAGACATGAAGATCATGAAATACTTTTTACAAAAGGTGCATTTGCTTGTTTGTTAACTTGGCATAAGATGACCTGCATCAGAGAAAGGACGTGTTAAAAGCCTCAACATGTAGGGGAACTTCATTTGAAGTGTGCAACTTTGTAGATAGAAATCAACAAATTTAAGACACAAGTCCGTCATAATCTTGGTTTGTTTTGTTTCGTATGAAACAACTAGTGTCAGACCTGGAACTTCAAGACAAAGTCTTACTCCAATAGTATCTTTAAACTATTCTAGTGTATTTATTATTACTTTTGTGTATAACCGGATTACAGTGTAGAATTCAAACAGCCCAAACAGCAGCGATTTTATGCCAGGCTTTCAAGAAGTACGGTGTCCAGATTGAACGTGAAGCAAAATGCATACAGCCTGATAGGGAATAAACATTCTGTAGCATTTAAATTCTGATGGTTGTAAATGTTCACTACATTTATACCAGAGACCATCTTTTCATCTAACCTTGCTTTGGGAAGTAAAGCCAAGAAATAGTTACAGTCTAATGCTTCTTTAATTGCGTCCTGTACTTTATACTGTTGCAACTTGACACTGATTTCTTACCTTCCCCCTGCGCTTCCCAAACAGGTTCTTCTTTGGAAGCAGTAACTACTTGTGAACTGTGTAAGGAGAAGTTACATCTGAATCTGGAAGACTTTGATGTTCATGAACTCTATAGGGCACATGCAAATGAACAAGTTAGTATATTTTGCTTTGTTTGGTAAGTGTTGATTTTGTGCTGGGAGGGCACTCCTCTTTAGAGAAGGAAAATGTTTCCCCTTTTCAGGAGGACTGATGTGCATGTAAAGTAACAAAACCATGGAACAGATGTATCTCCTCAATATTCAAATTCTATCCTCCTGCTTTTTCCTATTGCTAAGCCTCCATTAAAGGTACTATATCTCTTATCCTTAAGTGCAGATCTGCAGGTCTTTCATCTGTCTTTGCAGTCTAGTGTCTTTGACACATAGGTGCAGTAGAAATCCTGCATTCACATTTATTAAATCATGATGTGTCTTTCTTACTAGTGTTTTTGTTTGTTTGAGAACATTTTAAAACAATTGTTGTAAACATACCATTAGAATTATTACTTTATTCCTCTAACTAAAGTGTAAAAAACAACTTCTTTTATAACAGAACTTCTTGCTGCTCCTTCAAGTGCTTTTCTAAAATAAATAATAATAATAATTAAAGGTCCATTGGTATTACTGTCTTTATATAAAATGCATCATCGTATAACCACTGGATTGTGTACTATTTTACAATGACTACATATTAGAAAGCTGGCATTGATATATTGAACTATTCAGGGGGTTTTCCTTGTTCTCTGGGTTGAATTCTGTGAACATAGGAAGACTAATGAAATTTGCCTACCTGAGAAGTTAAAAGAAAATACAGAAGAGTAACTCCAACTTTGAAATGTGTGAACTTTGGTGAAACATCAGCCTCTGATTTTCTTACTGTTTAGAGTAAGATAACTTACTCTGGTACTCTAGCTCCTTTCACCTGGGCTACATCATGAACAGTCCTTCAGAGTGCTGTCATCTTACATTTTAGCATGACTGAGCGTTGGTTACTGTCACTGTACTTCAATAGAAGTAAGGCCTTTCAAGCTTTTTCCTAAAGAGTCAACTCTAAATGATCAATTCAGCAGTAGTAGCATTTTGAAGATTCTCCTTTATTGCAGTGAAAATAATTTCTTGAAATTTTTATTAACAACAATTTTATGAACAACAATTTTTCTTTCTGTAAAGTATTGGGACCACTGAAAAGAAACCGGCAAAGTGTTTTTTTTTTTTTTTTTTTTTTCCAAATGGTACAATTCTCTGCTCCTTAGATTCTTACCTGTGAACTAGTCATACTGACTTAAATAGAAAAAGTTCCACAAATAAAATCTGTCTTCAAGGATAACAAGTTAGATCTGTGGTTAGTGGGAGGAACTACAAGTATAATAGCATTTTAGTAAGTAATTTGTTTTTTCCTATTACATTTCCGTACCTTCCTTGGAACAACTAGAGATCAAATATGTAGTGCTTCCAGTAAAATTTAATTCTTGTTCTGCCTCTTGAATCACATATGTGAATGTACTGCTAACATTCTGAATGTTTCTTTTGATCTCCTTTAAGGCAGACTATGAATTTATCAGCTCTGGTCTCTACCTTGTAGTGTTGTTACACTTATGTGAACAGCGCTTTTCTGATATGCTAGGAACTGCAAGTGAGGCCAGCACGCGTGTCAGAGTAAGTATGCCTTACTTTTATGGCAGGAATTGCTCATACAGTGAACTTTGAACTATATTGTTGTCTTGAATGACTCAGGAGCTAGATAGATATCCAAGAAGTACTACTGTTAATTAAGAGATTTTGATGTAAAATGGTCTAGATTTGTCTAAAGTAGTAAGACTATGTTTGATTTGAAACTGAAGGATACTACGTTATTTCAGTTACTGTGTTGCAAAATTAATTTTGTCAAGGTTATCAATAACTGATTGCTTTGCATGTATCTTTTGCATATATCAGTTTTCATAATTTCTGGGCATTTATCCAAAACTGGAGGGTTTATCTTCCTCTGTATTCAACGTTCAGTTTAGAACATTGGACTATCTGACATGGCAAACCTTTCTCGTTACGCCAGTCTGCATTACAGAGGTCTGGACCTTGCATTCTCGGTCTGCTGGATTGAGCCTTAAATAAGTACTTGAAACTGCCGAGCTATAGTATGACTTTGTGGCACTAGTCAAAACTCTTAACAATTGGGTTTGACTGGATTCTTGTCGCTTGTCACTTGCCTTGACTTAGAAGTGCAGTAAGTGCACCTTGGACCATTAAGAGATCATCATACAAAATCATTTTTGCATAGAGACTCAAAAATCTGTAATCTGCGTGTTAATTTGATACTGGATAGTGAACTTCAGTGTTCTTTGACAACTGATCCCCTGAAAGGTATATATATATTTTAAATTGCTTAAAAATAATTGGCAATATAAAGCTTGTCTAAAGCTTGTTTGAATGATTGCATAGCAGCTAGTAGGCCTTTGGAGTAGAAGCAGGACTGTGCTCAAATCTTCTACTGTATTAGAACAGTGGTCCCCTTTCAGTACATGCCCAGTAAAATAGCTTATTTTCTGTGGTTCACATGAAATGTCCATTAGGAAGAAATTCTTTACTCTGAGGGTGGTGAGGCACTGGAACAGGTTGCCCAGAGAAGCTATGGATGTCCCATCCCTGGAGCTGTTTAATGGGGCTTTGGGCAGCCTGGTCTGGTGGAAGGTGTCCCTGCCCACGGCACGGGGGTTGGAATTAGATTGTTTTAAGGTCCCTTCCAACCCAAACCATTCTGTGACTCCCATTTTCCTCCTCTACAAGTGTAGAGACAAAAGACACAATCTAACTGTAGCCAGCATCCAGTACAGTTTATTACCTTGAGTGTATTGCAGAAATAAGATGTTCTTAATGGTTCTGATCAGGCACAGCATTACATAGGCGTGTGATGCTACATTTTAAACCAGTGAAGATCACCCATGTGCGTTTGATACTGAAACCACAACTGGGCTATGAAACCTCTTATGTTACTCTTGTTTCGTTTTATTTGCTGTGTGTCAGCATCTGTCCTATCATTTAAACAGTGACGTAGATTGTCACTGTTCTTCTAACATTTAACTGCCATTATTGTCTAGTAGTTACCCTGATTTTAAACTATATTTACGGATATAATCTTCAGTGGCTTTATGCTTTTTTTTAATAGCCTTGTTCAGCCAGAGGGCTCTGTTTTTGCCATATAAATAGTGAAATAAATGAAATGGATTCAACTAATGAAGTCCATGTGGGTTACGTTTTTGTGCATTGGAATTTGTAGGAATGGTTTTCATAAAACTGCCAATTTCTTATATATGTGTGCAACTCTCAAAATAGATGTGTTTTACAGACTGTAGGACATGAAGATGGGGAGGCACTAAATGCTAACAGAAGCATTTGACGTAGTATGGAAGCCAAAATAACTGTGCAGTAGCAATTTGAAGTCTAATATGTGGGACTTGATATTAAATTTTGTATTGATTTTGTAAGTTGAGCAAGTGGGTTAGGATAACCAACACCTGGATTGAAGCTTTGGGATATAAAAAGTGAAGAAAAGGTGAAGAAAACTTCTTTGCTAACGTGTTGCAAATTACTGCACATAAACTTTGCAACTTTTAAACTACTTTCTCTCTGCCTTGTTTCTAGTTTATTAACCTTGCAAGAACTCTTCAGGCACATATGGAAGATATTGAAAGTAGGTGCTTCCCCTCTCCTCCTTATTTCCCCCCCCATTAGATCAAAGTTCAATGAGTACATGAGTACAATCCTCCTTTGCCAAGATGATTCATACTACCAGACTTAATTACTGAAAACTTGACTTTACCCAGTGCTTTTTCCAGCGTCAGTAGAAATATTCTGGGTGGGAGCTGATTTTAATTCTCCATGATGGATTTCCCAATAGCATCGTGACTATGCAAGACTATGCAAGTGTTTCCTGCCAGTGATACCAAGATTCTTTACGAGTTTACCAAGATTCTTTGCGAGTTTATTCTAGTAGTACCTAATTATGGAAATGGTGGTGACTTTTAGGCTGTAGCCTTTTCATGAGTTCTTGTGGAAAAGAAGCATTTCAGGCTAAATTTGACTCTGCTTAAATTACCATACTTCTCTTGCCCTTTTTGTTTGCCTTGTTTTCCCCACTTATTGGATGTACATATTCTTTGATCAGCACTATCCACTTCTGGAATGAATGTAACAGTTCTCAGCTAAGGTAGAGGACTAGCTTACTTTTCACCTAGTTGTTCTTCAGTGCGATGAAGTGAGAAAAATGCGTGCTGACCTGTGGTAAATGTAGCCTGAATCTGAGTCTTATTTCTGGGCATTGTGAATAGGCAGTGGAAAGGTAATTGGTTTATCTTTTTTCTAGTGTGTGTTTGTCTCTCAGCATGCAAATTTTGTATATGTATTGAGCTTTCAGTTAACAGGACATGTTTGGTGTATGATATAAGGAATGCTGGGGGGGGGAATTGTTTAGTTCAAGAAGCAGAGGATTATTTCTGCGTTCAGAGCACTATGTAGGTAATGTTTTCTGTAACAGAGATGGATTGGAATTCAGGATTTATTCTCAAGTTATGTGTATTCTTATTATAGTAGAAATTAATCTTAGTAAGTGGCATTCCACACAGCAATTTAATCTATATTTGAGGTAGACTTTAACTTTTAGGTTAGGAATACTGACTTGAAATTTGGTATTGACACCATTTGAGTTATGTTCCTCTTCTGAGGAATGATTTTGGGAGGCTGGAGAAGTGATGAGAAAGACGTTGCTTCCCTCTTTGCGTTCAGAGATGGAACAAATTACGTGATTCAAATAATTTCAAGACTGCAGAGTTTGCTTAGGAGGACAGATTAATTCCTGTTAGGCACAAGCTAACTTTACAAACCTATTGTAGATGTTTGTACTCAGTTTTTATCACAGTTGACAAGCATGTGTTTGTCCTTTAATTCACCTTTCGATAGCAGAATCCTATGCATATGGGGACTTTACCTTACATAGACTGAAAGAGTGGGGGTGGACACAGTAGCTGCTTCCAAGTAGGACTCACTTAATTGTATTAAGCAACAGATATATATATATATATATATATATATACACATGCACACACACAAAACGTGTGTGTGTGTATATATATATATATTTATATCTATATATGTGAATGTAAATGTCAGAAATTTCTGTTTGCTTAGATTAATGAACTTTTCTTGGTATTTTAGTATAGTTTACGTGTGGGAGTAATTTCTTCCCCCTTGTTGGGTGCAGCTGTCATAGCTTGAACGTATTCTCTCTCTCTCCTCTTACTACAGTTGGAATTAGCCACTGTGAACTTCTATATAAAGCTGAATCTCTGGCATAATCATTTTTTCTTCCTTTTATTTTGAGGAGGAACAGCAGGAGGACACTGCAGTTTGTAATGTGGAATTCAGATTTAAAAATGCTACGTTTTTCAGATGTGAGAAGCATTTAAAAATTAAGCTATGAAAATTACACAAGGTTTGGGCCGGTATTACAGTCAGCTATTTATATTATGAAATCACCTTTATTTCCACTACGCGTTTTAAACTAAAAGTGCTTTAGTTGTAAATTTAACAGACCTTTATGAAGGCTTCTGATTATACTGTGTTGTTCCAACAGCTTCTGATGATGATTCTGAAGACTGATGCTGGTGGAACTGTGTTGCAAGAGACAAAGAGATGTGCTGCAGAAATGCTGAACTGGCAAGAACAACATCAACATGCATTTGTTTTTTGCTCTCCTTAGTAAAAAGTGCATTGAATATTACTGTAGTTTTTGAAGCACTGTTAAATTCAAAATCAACTGCTGCACTGTGGAACTCAGTGGATTTGAGAACTACTCAGCATGTGCAAAGATTAGATATATGTGTGTATATGTATATATAAGGCAACTTCCCTTTTTAAATGATGGGGATGTGCTTCGTTTTGGGAGACATCAGATTTTGAATATTTAAGAAAGCTATATCTGTCTTTATTTCCTTCTTACTGTAGTCACATTTCTGGTTTTGTCTATCCAGTTTTGCTCTCTACTGGCACTAAGTGGTTATTGTGGGTTTTGGGGTAAGGGTGGGCAGGGAGGGAGGGGATGTCCATGTACCTAAATAGCTTTTTTTTTCTTTCTTCTTTTTTTTTTTTTTTAATGCCTCTTTTGTGGCCTCATATAGTAACTGATTGCTTCCAGTGTTAATGAACGAGCAGGAGGATGAGCAAGGTACAGTAGAGACTGTTTGGTTTTCAGTTTATTTGAAGAGTATTAACTCAAAAAGCAATAAGAACTTGCAGTGGTCTTCTAATACATAGTGTTAATGATGGCTTTTTTATTTACCGGTTTGGAAGTTGGAGATTATATTTGATATTACGTGGGTATTCCACTAAGGAATATTGCAGGTGTAAATTCTTGCATTTCAGCATTCCTGGCAGATATGCAACTCGATAAAGACCTAAGCTTGTGTTAGTTCAATCAGATTTTTTTATGTCCCACCTTCACTGTTCAAAGCACTGGTTATCGATGTGTTTTCTAGTGTTGTCACTTCTTTATAAATAAAGTAAAAATGAGGTATGCATCTTCACTGGTATTGTCCATTTTGTTTATACATGGATATCTACCAGAACATATATTTGAAAACTTGGAAAGCTGTTGTCTGTGGTTTATCTTTACTAATGTTTGTAAATTCTTATGCAAATATTTAAGATTGTTTCTCAACATTTTAAACTGAAATGCTTTATATGAATGGTGGTACAATAAATTGTCATACATGTATCAGAATTGTATTTGCTATAAATATTTCTCTTGGCCTTTTAATGACTAGTAAGAATGTATCTGCAGGGAGTTCAGAATGTGGAAATACCGTGAGTTTATGTACAAATGAACTTGTGAGGAAGAAAGAACATACCTTCACGGCAGAAATGAGCTCATGATGGTAGGATTTATCCTAAAACTTAGTTTAGTGTTGTATGAAGTGGCCTGACACCTGTAAGTCTCGAAAGAAACTGGGTATTGAAGAAGCTGAACGTGTCTGTGCTTGTTCTGATAACCTTAAGCCGTTGGTTATTCAGCGACAACGCCTGCAAATATAATTCTGACAATGCGTTGAAACACAGCTCTCCTTCAGCTATTCATTTGAAAGATGGAGGCCGAGGCATACGTGAAATTTTTTCTGAATCGTTTCTGAAGAAATTGAATTCAGGTAAATAGTGACAGGGAAACAAACGTTCGGCCGTTTCTGAGTTGATGTAGCTTTGTAAAAGCATTGGACAGGGAAGTAAGCGGGACTTCTGTGCACTCGGTGCACGCGGAGGCGCAAGCATGGGTGTCGGTAGCCTAGTAACGGGCTGACTGGAAGGGTATTTTTTTTTTTTTTTCCTTCCGTATAACAAACGGCACTCCTGGCAGGTGAGCAATTCAAGCAGCCGCAGCTGCAAGCACCGGCGCGGTTCAGAGGGCAGGGTGCGGGTCCGATGTCCCGCAGAGCCCCAGAGCGCCCGAAGGAAGGACACGGGGGTGCCGGGGGGGAGCCGGGGGAAAGCAGAGGGGGCCCGCGCGGGTCGCTTGGCGAGGCGGCGGCCGCGGCGCCTCCCGCGAGCCTTGGCCCTGGCGCCCGGCGGCGCGGCCTCGGCCCGGGCGGGCGGCTGCAGGGCGGGGCCGGGCCGCGGGGCGGGGCCGGCGGAGCTGCTCCTCCTCCGCGCCGGAAAGAAGAGGCGGCGGGAGCGTTGCCGGGGCAGCGCCGGCGGCCCAGCAGCGCCATGACGTCGCTCCGCGCCTTCACCTGCGACGACCTGTTCCGCTTCAACAACATGTCAGTGACCCCCCCTCCCCCTGGCCCCGGCCCCGCAGCCCGGCCGGGCCCGCGCTGAGCGCCGCGCTCCCTCCCTCCCTCGCTCTCTCCTCTCTCTCTCTCTCTCTCTCTCTCTCTCTCTCTCTCTCTCTCTCTCTCTCTCTCTCTCCCCCCCCTCTCTCTCCCCGCAGCAACCTGGACCCGCTGACGGAGACCGTATCCTTCCGCTGCCGCCGGCCGCCTGGCGGGAGGCCTCGAGGGGCGCCGTAGTACGGGATCCCCTTCTACCTGCAGTACCTGGCGCACTGGCCCGAGTACTTCATCGTGGCGGAGGCGCCCGGCGGGGGGCTGATGGGTTACAGTGAGTGCCCCGGCCCCGGCCCCGGCCCCGGCCCCGCCGCTCCGGGGCCGCAGCGCCCGGCGGGGGCTCCGGCTGCTCTCGGGCCGCGGGGCGGGCGCGCTGCGAGCGGCGCTGAGCTCCGGGCGCGGGCTCGGGCTTCCCTTCGCCCGCCGAGAGCCAGCCCTGGGCCGGGGAGCCTTGCCTTGCCTTGCCTTGCCTTGCCGCGGTGGCGTTCGCCAGCAGTACCCGCTACTCGGGCTGTCTGCCGGTTCGCCCTCCTCGTTATCGCTGCCCCGGCATCCCGGGAGGCCTTTGCAGAGACTGGGGAAATGGCCCGTTCTATGTGTTGAAGCCTAAAGCGTTGGTGCTGTGAGTGACGGGTGTTTCTGAAGTACTGCGTGCGACAGGAGGTTTGGAGGGTTGTTTGCAATCTAACGCTTGTGTGGTGCTATGTAGAAACAAGCTCCAAAGACACCCCCGCTCCCCACCCGACTCTTCCCCCTCCCCCCAAAATAACAAACAAACAGAAAAACCCACCTCTTTTGGCTACATGTAACGTGTTTGCAGGGTCTAAGCTGTCTTTTGCCAGATTAGCAAAGCTGCCCAAGTTCTACCCCCTCAAAACGACCAGAAATTTCCTTTAGTTGCTCAGGTGATGAACTAGTTTTTTGGCTTGTAGCCCTCTGTTCTTCCATTATTCCAGTCAGACCCCGAATTCTGCTCGTTTAAAGACTCGTGAGAATTGCTTAAGGCTTTTATTTAGAAGGCACTCCTCAAAAAACAAGTTTTGAAAAATGATTTAACTTTTTTAATGCTAGTCGAGAGAATAGTGTAAAATGAGCAAAATGATGTCTGATGCAATGAAGCAGAACTGTACGAGAACCATCTGCATTGTCTGCGGTAGGTGAAGTTGGGTGTCAGAATAGGTTCTGTTAGCGTGCAGTTGGTGAAATCAGGAACTAGCAGCTGGGGGTCTTTCCAGTAGAGCTTGGAATCCAGATGGAAATGTGACCTTCAGGGGCCTTGCCTGCCTTTCTCTGAAGCTCTGATATTTGACCTGTAACCGTACAGAGTTGCTAAGTCATAGAGCGATAATACAGACATGCCTTGTTCAGCTTTTTGCCACAGTTGTTGCAGCATGTGTTCATATACTCCTCTGTAACGATGTACACCTGGGGTGCGTTGTCCCAGAGGTGCTGCTGTGCTGATACTCTGTCTGTCCGCAGTAATGGGTAAAGCAGAAGGCTCTGTGGCCAGGGAAGAATGGCACGGACATGTTACTGCTCTCTCGGTTGCACCAGAATTTCGACAGCTGGGTTTGGCTGCCAAGTTGATGGAACTATTGGAAGAAATCTCAGAAAAGTATTACCCTTCTCTTTAAGCTGATCTTGTAAAGTATTCTTTCTGTAGACTTTTGTCCCTGGTTTAGGTATTTGTTTTACATGAAACATACCCAGACTCCCGGACTTCTCTATTAAATAGCGCCCCCAACTGACTGAAATTCCCTGTAGTTAGAGAACAAGAGCTAAAAACTTTGCTCGGCATTTTAAAATGTCTTGATTTCTATGAAAGCTCACTTGCCATGATGAATGGGAAGTAGTCTAAATTTCAGCAAAGACACAGTATAAAGTATTCTTTTCTTGATATTTTGTGAAGTTCTTTTCCTACCAACAGTGTTTTCCACAGTGCCCCCAACATACTTGTTTAGCGGCTGTGGGCTTTGTGCGGGTTCCCTTGGACGCAATATTATGCAAATGTAGTGCTGCAGACAGTAACTTAGCCAGCATGAGATGGAAAATAAGCTTACTCTTACCTGCAGAAAATAAACACATTAGGGAAATGTCCCTAGCTCGTGCCAGTAGAGCAACCCTGTTGTGGTTGGTTGAAACCCAAATTGCTTGATTCTTTGAAGAACTAGCATACTGAGGGCTGTCTCCTGTTAGACAACTGAATTGTGAGACTGGTTTTTCTTCCCCTGTTCATTTTGAAGGGGGCAGTCCCTAAGCTAGTGCAATGTAAATGCATCTAAAATACTGATTATAATTAAAATAATTATATATATATATATATATATATACACACATATATATACACACACACATATATATTTATATTCATATAATATTTTTTATATATATAATATATATATAATTATTCATATATATATATATATATATATATGAAAATGAGGCTTCTGTGGGTATTTGGCTGGCCCTGTTCTTTTTGTTAATAATTCTGAGTGTACTGGATGGTGTAGAAGATTGTTCATGTGACCAAAAAAAATAACTTCTGCCAATACTGGGCTTGTCCTGTGCTAAAAGGGATGCATCTGTTATTACAGCGTGAAGCATACCTGATTAGTATATTGCCTCATCAGACCTGTTCTTGGTTACATGTTGTGGGTTTTTAATTGGAAATATATTCACCTGCTCGTTCTTACTGTGTTTTGTTTATTTTTTAAAAGAAAGGGCGGATTTTTCGTTGATCTCTTTGTGAGAGTATCAAATCAGGTTGCGGTAAACATGTATAAGCAACTGGGCTACAGTGTGTACCGGACAGTGTTAGAGTACTATTCTGCTAGCAATGGAGAGCCTGACGAGGATGCTTATGGTAAGTACTTGTTCTACCCCCACGTTGAATGGAAAGATCCTCTTGTGTGTCCCAGGGTTGTCCCTGTGTTTTGTGTATAGGGAAAAAGTTAAGGTGGTTGTTGTTTAATGGGATTTTACTTCTTCCTTTAGATAGCTTTTCCTGCTGAGGATTAATATCTGTTAAAAAAATCAACCTTGTGGTTTGCACGTTGCATTGTATCCACGGTAAAATAAAATACCAGATGAGTAAGCTATCCAGTACAAAGACATGTTACTCTGTGAGTAACGATAAATAACATTCGGTTACTTATCTAATGGAAAGAATGCTCCTGGCAGGTGCCTGGACTTCTTCCTGATGCCACTGGGAAGAGGAATGGCTGTGCTTTCCTTCTTCCTTTCTCTTCCCTCCTTTTCTGTGACAGTCCTTCCCCCCCCTCCCCCCCGCTTTTGTTTTGTTGTCCCTTGATTATACGGACTTGAGGAATTGTTTTTCTCAGCCAATTAAAATCTTACAGAGGCTAATGGTCCACAGTGACAGAGAATTGGGTGGCCTTTTCAATTTAAAGGATAAAGGACATGGAAATTTCAAGTACTGTGTTAACAAAACAGGAGTACTAGGTGCTTGTTATTGCAAGGTATTTTTTCCTGTAAGCGTCCTCCACGAAAGCTTCTTTGGGCTTGCTGTGTATCTTTTCTGTTCATCCATTCATCTTTTCAGATTAAAGTAACATACAAAATACAAAGGCTGTGGACAGACAACTACAGTTGTTGCAGATCTTTTTCCTCTTGCTACAGGTATGAGAAAAGCTCTTTCCAGAGATACGGAGAAGAAATCTATTATACCTCTTCCTCATCCTGTGAGACCGGAAGACATTGAGTAACTGTAAACCGTGATTCTCAGGCATCATGCTCAGAATTTTGGATTGCTTTTCTGTCTACCTTACAGATGAGAAAACATAGCCGCAATGTTTTTTTTCTCATGAAATACCAAAAGCAATATTGAGAAGTTTACTTACACCGTCTTTATTGGTAATAGCTGCAGACTTGTGAACTTCCCCTAGTGAATTTTCTTTTTAAATATTGGTAAAGCAGAGACTATTAAATGGAATCACCTGGTGACATGGTGCACGGTGTGTGTTTTTTATTTTTATCAAATCAAAAAAAACTGGCCAGTAATAGTAAAACTCCTAAAAATGCCATTATTCATGACCAGTGAAAATATTATTGTACAATACACAGGAAGAGGGACAAGGGGAGGTACTGTATTAATACTTTCATAGAAAAAACACCTGTTACAGACAATTCGGACATTTTTTTCAAGTTCTGTGGCACAAGAAGGGCCTGAACTCAATTTGGTCCACGCTCAATGGGGAAAATCCAGGCAAATAAAGAACTCAAGGATTCCCATCTACGGAGGACCTGATTCAAGACCAGTTCTTGGTACCATACATAAACTTGGAATGCTGCATCCACTGAAATAAGCCACAGTAAGGGTTTCTTGCGTTCTGAGCCGATACTGCAGGTATTTAACCTCAGGGTGGAGCGCCACCTGCTGGTGCGAAGTAAATACTGCAGGGGGCCGAACGCCACGCATGAGCGGTGGCGCACGGGGGCGCCCACTGCCGCCACCTGCTGTTCGGAAAGGGGTACTGCAGGCGGCCGGTCGCCGCGAACGCGACCTCGGCCGCCACCTGCTGCTGGAAAACGAGTACTGCAGGCGGCCGGGGGGCGCGAATGCACGGTGGCGCCCGCGGGCGCCCCTCTGCCGCCGCCTGCTGGTGGAAAACGAGTACTGCAGATGGTCGGCGGCCGCGCATGCGCGGAGACGCGCGTGGACGCCCTCTGCCGCCACCTGGTGTTCGGAATGGAATACTGCAGCCGGACGGCGGCTACGCATGCGCGGTGGAGCCCGCGGGCACCCTCTGCCGCCGCCTGCTGGTGGAAAACGAGTACTGCAGGCGGCCGGGGGGAGCTCATGCCCGGTGACGCCCGAGGGCGCCCCTCTGCCGCCGCCTGCTGGTGGAAAAGAGTACTGCAGGCGGCCAGGGTCCGCGCATGCGCGTTGCTTATTACGTCTTTTTTTTTTTTGATGTGTAATTTCCTACGCTCCTAGATTTTTCTTCAAATGTAAATGAAAGGTTCTTGCTAATTCCCGTTGAAAATATTTCATTTACTTTCTTGGTTGTATTGTCCTTTCTATGTTCAAAGCTGAGGCAAAAATACGGTAAATTTTGCTTCTAGAAACACCGCAGTTCTTTTGTCTGCACTCCGCATGCTGTAAACTAGGGATAGGTGACAAATAAATAAAAAAATAAATAAAAGAACACAGCTGCTGCTCCTGCTCTCTTTCTTGTTTTTTGCCCCCTTCTCTTTCCCAGGTGATTGGGTTTGGGTGCTGGGCGGGGCCAAATGTTATACGAGCCCTAGGCATTCTATCAGAGAGCTCCTTCTGCGTGGGCTGCTCTTTGGGGTCGGTGCTTTGTTTATTCTTCTGTTAGCTACATGCAGGGTTCTTTTCGTGGGTCAGAGTCTTGTACGATATTTTAGAGGAAACCAATCTAGTAGTACGTGCATTTATTGCATGAAGCTCTTTGGAGGTGATTAATTGTTATAGCACTTTTATGGATAGGATGTCAATGTTGTTTTGTGTGTTTGCTTTGTTGTTCTAGGTCCCTCATGATTTTTGCAGGGTTATAGGGCAGATGCCACCAGGTCTACCCCTTTTGTTGTTTTTGTTTTGTTTGATTTATTTTTCTTATTTTCTTTTTCGGAAGGGGGTTTGCGATTTGAGCGTCCTATTTTGGGGGGTTTGGGATTTGAGCATCCTAATTTTGTGGGCTTGGGCGCTGTGAGCGTCTTAAGTGTTTGGGTTAGGGCTTTTAGGCATAGGTCTTCAGGGGTTTAGTGTGGTGGATAGTTTGGGTTAGGTCTGTAGGGGTTTCGAGGATTTTTAGGGTTAGGGCTTGCGGCTTTTTTGTGTAAGGGCGGTAAGGGCTAGGGTTCCAGGGAGTGCTGTTAAATGGAGTTCTCGACGACTCGGCCTCTGATTGGCCGTGCCGGCTGTGCAGGGAATGCTGGTAGGTGTAGTTTTCCGGCACAAGGCTTTCCGGTAGGCCGCGTTGAGTGCCCAGAGCATGCCGGGAAATGTAGTTCTGGGACTCCGGACTTCCGGGAGGCCATGTTGGGCGCCCAGAGCATACCGGGAAATGTAGTTCTGGGACTCCGAACTTCCGGGAGGCCATGTTGGGTGCCCAGAGCACACCGGGAAATGCAGTTCTCGGGGACTAGGGCTGGGGCTAGGGTTAGAGTTTAGGGTGAGGGTTGGGGTTAGGGTTAGGGCTAGTGAATGCTGGTTCTCTGTGTTTGCAGATGACGGTGAGCGTGTTTAAACTAATTCCAGTTGAAGAAGTTTCAGTTACTTGCTTGGTGACATTATCAGTTCAACATTAAAAGCTGCAGCAAAAGCAAAAGGGGAGTTTTGCTTGTAGAAACACCACAGGTCTCTTGTCTGCTCTCGGAATGTTTTTGAGATAAACCAGATTTTAAAAAACAAAGGGAAAAAAAAAAAACCACAGCTGCTTCTTTTGCTCTCTTCCTACTTTCTTGTGCTTTGCCCCTCCCCTTTCCCAGGTGATTGGGTTTGGGTGCTGGGCGGGGCCGAATGGTATATGAGCCCCAGGCATGCTATCAGAGAGCTCCTTCTGCTTGGGCTGCTCTTTGGGGTAAGTGCTTTGTTTTTCCTTCAGTCAGTTGCAGGGTTCTCTAGGCAGACTGGAGCCTATGGATTTCTGGATTTTAAGTGCTTGGAATTCACTCAGTAGCGGGATGTTTAGTAGGGGCTGCTGGCTCACTGTTTTTTTTGGGATGGTGGGATACTCTTCTGTTTTTGAGCTATATTTTAGTCTCTAGATGTATAAACCCACTTGTGTAACTCTCCAGAGGACTAAAACCAGCTTGATTGAATGCTACATATGGCTTGGCAGCGTAGATGCAGCATTACCAAGAGACTGAGCAGGGTTGTATCAGAGTCACCTCTTTCATCTGCAAAGGGTAAGTTTGATTACCCCTGCCGGGGCTGCTGTGTGTGCATGTCTTTTTGGCATTTGTGGAGCTCAGTTGTTTTTCTTTGTGTGTGTGCATGTTTTTATTTATTTATTTATTTATTTTTATTTTTGAGGGTCAAACAGTGTGTTTGCTGAGCGTGGTTAGAATGAGAAGGTGGGGAGCTGCTCAGGACTGCAAGGTTTGGTTTCTAGGAGTATGCGGCATCCTTCCTGTGCGACGTGACTAATTGTTGGGCTGGAACGTTCCAGCTTTTGTGTGTGTTGGGCAATGTAGCTTGTGTAGTGTGTGTCGTGTGGTCTAGGCAGAGTTTGCTGTGGTGCAGTGGGCGAAGAATCTCAGGTAGAGCTGGTGAGCAGCTGAAGTACCAGAGCTGGGAAGAGAGAGGTCGTGCAGCAGGTACGCTGTGGCTGTGAGGTGCCTCAGACTGTGCTTTTCTGTCTTTTTTTTTGTTTTGTTTTGTTGTTTTTTTGCAGGTGCTTTGTGCGGTCGTGGACAGGAAAGGGAAATCCTCGTGTCGCGGAGCAGTGAGGGAAGGTGGGTGTTGTCAGCCTGGTCATCCCTTATCTGAAGCGAAGGGAAGACGCTCAGGTGTTTCCCTGTGAGGTTCCGAAGTGAGACTGTTTGGGATAGAGGAGCAGTGTGGCAGGTGGGTGCTTGCAAGCACAGTGGTTCTTTTGTCCTTTTGTGTTCCCAGGTGGCGTGGGTGATGCTGGCCGCTCCTTTCAAGCTTGGACCTAATTTGCAGGTCCAGAGGCAAGTGGAGTGCTGTTTTGAAAGGATAAAAGTAAAGCTGGGGTCGCTTATGTTGTTGAGGGATGGGTGCTACTGCTGGCAGCTGAATGTTTATCTTCTGCCTGTGTTTTGCCTTTCATTAGGCTGAAGTGCAGTGCAGGATGTCTCAACCAGCTGCCTCTGCAGTGACTCTGGTGCGTGATGAGCAGAGGTAGCTGTTAATTTTGGGGGTGTGGTTGTCACTGAAGTTATTTTCCTACATCCAATAGAGTAAAATTCCAGTTTGCCTTTTAGAGGTGCTATAAGTGGGTAAAGAGAAGAGATGGAAGCATGTGCCGCGTGGGGCAGGCAAGCGGCTGAGGTACAGGAGGGGATGAGAGTATGTGACTTTTTCCTGGGGGTGGAATGGAATTGATTGTTTTGGTGTATAGTCTGTTTTGCTCCGAGATCTTTCATTCATGGTAAATAAAAGTTTGAGCCAATTCCAGTTGGGAATGTTCCAGTTACGACCCAGCGAGTACTGTCCTTTTAACGTTAAAAAAAAATGCGGCAAAAGCATGGGTGCAGATCTGTTTCAGGTCTTGTGCATCATATTCGGTTCGAGATCGCGTCTGTTTCCATCCTCACTCTTGCAGAAGTCATCTGGGCCGCATCAGGAGCTCTTCCTTAGGAAATCAATTCCCAAGCGTCTTCTTAGGGGGTTTTCAGTCCCCATCCTTCTGGTCTCTTGTCTCGAAGGCAGGCTTTTTAGGCCTCCATCATCCCAGTTCTGGCAGTTGCTTCCAGTCGCGTGTCGTGACATTTGAGTCTCTCCTGGGGTCTGGTGCAGAGCACCTGTATCTGACTTGCTGTTGCTGTAGGGCTTTCTTTTTGGGGGTCACTTTTTCTTGTGCCTTGTGTTGTGTGTTTTGTTTGTAGTGTTTGTGGCGTGCCTGTGTGTGTGTACGTGTTTGGTCTGGAGCTGTCCTGCCTGGCAGTTAGTGATGACAGGTAACGTGGCAGTGCATGGGTGTACTAATACATTGTCTGGACTGTTTTGGTAAAGATATCCAGTCTGCCTCTGGGCACGTACTGAAGGGCAGCTGGCACAGTCATCTCTGTGGTGTTTGGCAGACTGGAGGGGGGAGAGTTGAGCTGCTTGCGAGCAACTGCTCGCATAGCACTTGAACGGTGTGCTTGAGGAGGTCTGTCGAATCTTGAAAGCTTACAGATATGGGGTTTTGAATTTTTTATTTTTATTTCTTTCCTGTCCCCAGTAGAGCGTAAACCTTTGGAGGAACCTGTCACAGGAAAGAGCTCCTTCTGGAACTGTTCAGCACTCG